TCATCCTCTAAGTTTTGGCCACCCTGTATATTACTAACTAATGATAAATAATAATAATGAACAAATATAAATAAAAAGGAGTGTGCCCACTACAAAACTCTAGTTTTGACTGTAAAATTAAACCAAATTATTTTTTTACAAATAACCAAAGCAATTTTGTTAATTTTATCTTATTTAATCTTAAAGTAAGGTAACTGCATTTTCTCATCAATACATTTATTGAGTTCTCAGTTTTAAAGATCTTGGTTGTCAGCCATCTTTTTATTCTGAAAGAAGAAACCAATGTTGGAATTAAATAAAGTAATTGATGGAAGAAATGGAACCTTTTTAAGTATCCATTATTTAAAAGAAACTAGCTTTCTTTCTATGGACTGGAAGTTTAATCCCAAAACTTCAGTGATATTGGAAAATTTGTTCATGTTATATAATAATTTAATTTTCTTTTAACTTTAACGACAGGTGAAGAGATAAAAAGTATTAATTATTCTCTAAAGTGGTGTTAAAGAATATTTAACGAACAACTCGTTTCATCTCAAAAAAGAATTTATAATTAAGAAAAAAAAATTATTTTATAAATCTTAACCTTTACTTGACATTTGAATGAAAAAAATCATGAATTTACCAAGAAATCGTCACTACCATTACTTTGATTTCCTTCTATCTTGAAAACAAATGTTTATCACCTGTGCTTCACATTCCACAAATCCTAATTTTTTTTAAAATGTATTCATTAGTGTTTTTGAAAAAATTCAATATATATGGTTATTTTTATTTTTACAATTATTATTTTTAACATGTTATTATGAAATTATTAACACATTTTATTATGCTCTGGTTGAGCATGGGTTACTTTTATGTATTTTTCTTTTTTACAGATGATGTAGGTTAAACTTTCTTCTCATTGGCAAGCACAGTTTCATAGTTTTCTTGACACTTCCTAGTTCTAAACATAACATTTTATAATGTTTATTATTCACAATTTATTACATAATTTTTTAATATCTTTTCATTTTGTTGTTGCACAGTTTTATTACATGATATGGAAAACAAAATCTCTAAATTTAATTTGTCTGATGTGGAGAGTTCTATCACTGAGTAATTCTTGTATAAACCTTAATATTTGGAAGTTTGTAAAGTAGTCCCAACTAAATTATCTGTTGTATATAGATCTCTGGTTAGAGCAGGATGAGGGGGAAGTTCAGAAGTCCTCAATTAGTAATCACCGCCACCAAAACGTGTTTAGCAGCATGCCAGCTCCTCAATTGGTAATCTCCACCACCTCAATTGGCAATCAGACAAAAAAGTGTAACATTAAATCGTTCATTTCTTAGATATAAGACCATATTAACCTCTGGTAATGGCCCTATGGTGTACAATATTGTTAAGTCTTTCTTTATTGCTCCTCAGTTTTGAAAATAAATCTATAAATATGCCACATGAAGCGCTAGAAATAAAATTACATTTTTAGACATGATTATCTAAAGTTCTAATCCCTCTTTCATGTTAAGAACTAGAGCTACTGCAGTGTCAACCATCTTAAATACCCCTTTCCATCCTTTTCCTGCCTTTCACTGAATTGTGTTCATTTTCTGAACTGAATATTCAAATACAATTTTGAACTGTTGATACAAATAGATATGAGCTCAAATCATATTATCATTGTCATCTTTTTAAAAGTTGAAGATATTTGTATTTACTTTTAAATAAGCTCTTAAACATATGGTGGATTGGCGGATGGTAGGACTTACCCAATTCATCCATTCCTGCTGCGAGTTTTTGATAGAAATCTTATATTTTGAACACACTAATCTAGGTTTTTTCTAACTATACTGATTTATGCTAAAGTTTTGCTTGCAAGTAAAACCTCTGGAAAATATTTAATGAAATTTAATCTTGTGGAAGTTTAATCTTATATTCCCCACACCACCATTACTTTTCAAACAATACTTCTTGATTAAACCTCTTCATTAAAACTCATAAACATTATTGTTTGCTTCTAGCATTAATATTTCAAGAAGGAATTGCAATAGTACAGGGTGAGTACATATACATGTATACAAGGTTATTTTTTCTTTATCCATAAGACACAATTCCTAAAATTATTTACCCAATGTTTCACAATGAATCTATAATCGATAAAAACTATAAAAGAAATGCATAAGATTAATTGTGTGAATAGTTTTGGGGATAACAGATTAGCTCAGTTCCAAGTTTGTGTCGAATACAAACTTTTGTTGAAATTTAAGAATTTTACATTTCCTGAGGGCTAAAGATGCGGATTAGGAATTAACTAAATTATAATCAATCACTTTGTGGACACAGACTGTTAATTGAAATTCTGAGACTAAGCAAATATTATGCAAAATATGGTGTTTAGTATTCCCAGGGGTGGTAGGAGAAGTTTCAGTTTTCCTCCTTTTTAGAAAATAATAATTCTTTGATAAGTATGCTCAGTTTTCTTTCAAAACTTTGTTTCATCATAATTGGTTTGGAAACTTTGTTCCAAGTTTCAGTCTTCTTAAGATTAGTTAAAATTGACAGGTTTGATGAAATATGTTCCTATTACAGAGATAGAACTTGGCAGAAATAATGTAATTGTGGGTACTTTCATTTCCTACGTCAATTTAGTAAAGAACATAAAAGTTTTAAAGATTTTTTTTGTATATTTTTATCTTATACAATGTTGAGAACCCGGTGTTGCATGGCAATTTCAGATTTCTCTGAAAAGGTCAACACACTCAACTTTTAATTTTATACAAAGCTAATAATGCTTCCCATGATTCTATATGAGCTCGATCCCTAATCAAAGTTTGAGACAATAGTTTTGATCGGACAGACAAACAAACAGAGATCATTACTTCATATAAAGAGGTAAATTTTTGTTTTTCTTAACTTAATGGGAAAAAATATTTTTTGTTATTCTAATTTCCTTGATCTCTGTTGGAAAATAGAAAAAAAACCACAGTTTAATTTGATTGTCCCTTTAAAGTTTACCAATTTTTTTACATTAAAAGTTAAAATTGGTGGTCCCACTGATGAACATAATAAAAACGAATTTTTGCAATATTAATTACTGCTGGTGTCTAATAGCAACTGCAAGAACTGAATGGTATTGTTATACGTCAGTTCTTAATTTATTAAGTTAAATCTGAAAGCAGATCACAACCTCCAAAAATAAGTCTTAATATGCCTAAAGGAATGATTGTATTCGATTTATATAAATGACTAGCTTGGGAACCCAGTATTGCCCAGGTTACTTATAGTTACTCTAGCTGTTTACCTGCATTTACCCGTAAATTACGATTTTAGATATTTTTACCAATAAAACTCAACTTAGAATTTCAAAACCAAGAACATTCCCTTGACTCTCCTGAGTACCCCAATCAAATTTTAGGCAAATCGGTCAAAGGCTACTGAGTTATGATTGGACAAACAAACCAACAAACAGACACCCAAACAGAGATTACTTTTATATATATAGTTATTAATCTTGATTTACCTGGAGGTTCCTGGTGGCATTCTGTAATGAGAATGTCCTTGTGAAATACCATGGCTTAAAACATCATTTGCTTCACGAAGCACTACCTAAATTTGATCAATATATTACCAAGACAAAATAATAAGTGTCATGTCTTAATCACAACGATATCCTTATAAGTTTTTTTTGGATCATAAAGAAATGTGAAACCTATGATTTGTCCTTAACAATTGGATATTTTCAATTGGTTTCTCTTTAAAAGTATTTTGTGGATTTCTTACTTTTAGAACTATGATGAATTAATCACTTTTAAGGTAGACAAAAGATGTTAAGGATTAAAGCTTAGGATACAAGGGATCCTAAGCACTGCTTAAAGCTGGATCCAAGGGGCAAAATATCAACCAAAAAAAGTCAGTTTGGCACTTCAAATGGAACCTAGTTTGAATAATGATAAAAAGAAGGAGTTTACATTTTACCTTGGGTCTATCCTGTTGGGCCGGGTCTGTAGAAGTAGGTTCAGGACTCCAAATTGTACCCTTTTCAAGTTTAGAAGGATTATAGCCTAAAATAGATAAGTTTAAGAATTTACTAAGGCTTGCATAATTCATATTGTTATCAAAGTTTTTTCTTAATGCAGTTTTATGTTTTTAGTTTTATTGATCGGATATCCAGGATCAGTTCTTGCTTTACCATATGTTATGTATTCTAATTTTCTATTTAAGATTTATGATTAATGTGGGAATGTTGTCTGCTGTTGAAAAATGAAATGTCAAAGTAGCATGAATGGATCTCTTTCAGAAATATTTTCAGATGACATAATTTTAAACCAAAGATTTTGGGATTTTGTGGTGAAAGAAGAAATATTTATTACCATGAAAATGAATTTACTAAAACAAAACTAAGGTTCCATTCCATTTACAGTGTAGATTTAGATAATCTCAAGGGTTTTTATTTTCAAATTATTAATTACAATTTGAAAGTACAAGAGGACAGATAAAATATATTTCTGTTGAATAATATTCATGTATTATTGTCTGGGAAATGGTAATTTTGTCTGGTTTACGTGTTTATGAGACTATTGATGGTATCTTGGATAGGTTCCAACAGGTTGGACTAACTTATCTCAACAGTTTGGTCTCAAGGGTTCTAAAACCTAGATTTATCTTTTCTATCTTTAAGCTTGGAATAAATCTTGTATTTGTGTACACTGTACAGGTAATAATTCATGATATATAAAAATGAGATACAATTTTCAATTTGCAAATTCATGCATATTCTTGTCATTTAATGGATTACTATTTGAATAGTTTAATATGGAGGATTGTTAAAATTCATGTCTGTCAAATCTTAAATACAAAAAAAGTTGGCTTATTAGTTGGGAGGGGTTAAGTCTGAATTTTAAAGAAATCTAAACCTCTTTCCCCATCTTTCATATAATATTGTTGTTTGGTTAACATATCTTGGGTTATTTATTAGCCATGAAATTGTTTCTTTATTCAGCTTGAATGTTCTTTTCAAGAATATATATTCGACATTAAACCTAAAATCATCATAAAAATAACAAAATATACACTGAGAGAAAGAAATATTATTTCCTGGATACTTTTCCTTTTGTTTATCTTAGATGAAATCTTTTATTAATTTAATCTGGTGGAAGGTCAATTATTAGTGTTAAAAACCTGGTCACTCAAGTTGAAATTACTTAGGACTTAAAGGAAATACTTTTTTCTGTTAAACTAAATTTTAAGTGTTGAAGTGAGAACTTAAAAACTTCTTCAAAATATGCCTTATGATTTTACATTTAACATTGGTTTGAAACATGGTAGATCTCTGCAAATTAAAAGTTCAGCCATTTTAATTTTGTTCAGTCAATTCTGAATTCTTGTTGTTTTTGGGTATCCCAATACATATTTGAATCACCTCTACTAAACGGATAGGTTGTGATTGGTTTGTCGGCTTGTGGAAAATTCCAATCTGTTTTGAATCTTCTATGTGGTGGAAGACGACCTCCAGTCTGGATTTCATCATGCTTTGGGGGCCATTCAACTTTCTGTAATTATTTCGAAGAAACAATTAGAATTTATCAGTGCTTAGGATCCATTTGATTTTGATGCTAATTTCTTTAACCAAAAAAAAAGGAAATAAGTCTTTGCCAAAAACTCAACTTTTTGAATCACTATATCTTTGCAACCTATTGTGAAACCTTTGATATTTCAAACTTAGATTATTTCATTGGATTGCAACGATATAGGGATTAGAAACTCAGAGTTTGTAGCAAGGCCTCGATTCCTTTCCTCATTTTTATTGGCAAACATGTGACTGGAAATTTAATAAATAAGAATCTGATTCTGGATCCAGTAAGTTAAAATATTTTTTATTTTGATTTGGAGGTGGAAATTGTTTTCAATATCTTGATTAGGATTTTATGTCTAAGCCTTTTTCTTTTGCATTTTAATTTCTAAGAAATCACAATTTATTGAGAAAAATGAAAATCCAGTGATTTCTGAGCAATTGGTTAAGGCTTGGAAGTGTGCTAAATCTGAAGTAAAAAAAAAATAATATCTTTCCTTTATATTTCTGGTGACAACGTTGAATGAAACAGATCCCTAGATATCCAAACATTTCTTTAATGAACAAGAAAAGTTTCCCTGATGCTGTTCATGTTCAACTTCTTCATATTCAGATTCACCCTCAGATTCCGGGCTCACACTTCTAAAATAGTAAAAGTGTTTTATTAGGCTTGATAAATTATATTTATATGTATAGATATTGGAAATTCTTATCCATTAAGATGGACTCTTAAAAAATATGGGTATTCAACTAAAATCTGACAATCTTTTTTTTAAATTAAGCTTTTTCAGTAAACACAAATATATTAGCAAGCATCTCTTTTTCATATTCTGATGTTAAAACCATTATCCTGTGCATTATTGTTCTCAGGTCGAAGGATTAACAGTTGATGAAAAGTTTACTTTGTTAATAATAGCAAAAACTATGGCAAAAATAGAGTTGGCCAAGTAAGATTATAAAATATAATTTAATCTTCACTTTGTGACTTTTATAATAACTAAACTCACATGATAAAAAATCAAGGAAAATACTAGGTATTTTTCATTGGTTTATTTGCCAAATGTGAAAAATCGTCGGACAAGAAAAATTATTCATTGTTCTCTTTGTAACTTTAAATAGTGGCAATGATGAAAATATTTGATTTGATGAATAAAACTGATGATTGGTCTTTAAAAGATAAGAAAGTTGTCTAAATAAAAGATCACCAAGTTTCATCTTTAATTAGTATACTTGTGTTGTGACTTAAATAATAACGAAAGGTATTTTTCATTGGTTTATTTAATCCTTCTTAGGAAAAATGTAAATATGAACAGTCATCTGACAAGACAATTTTTGAATTTTCATATAACCTTAACAATAGCAAAATTTAACATAAAAATCTAAGGAAGATTTGCAGGATTAAAAAGTTGAAGATTGTTCTTAAAAATATGAGAAAGTTGTCTAAAACTAAAATCACTTTGTTTCACCTTTCAATTGTAGGAGTGTGTGAAGGAGTCTCCATGTTGATTGTACAAAGTATAGGAGCTCACTGGAATTCATAATTTTACAGATAAAGTTCACTCCCAGGGGAGAACAAGTACCCGACACAATTTTTATTCAAAAAATCTTTGAACAAGAAAAACTGAATTTTTTAGAATTTTATCTTTAAATTCCTGCTTAATCTCCTGGTCAGTGTTAGCCCCTGTAATACTGAGTAAGAATTGAATCCTGTAAGGGATCTTATTTTGATCCTAGATGCACATAGGAACAGGGTAGGTGGGGGGGTCTCGAGAATTGTACAAAAAATTGAATTAACCTACTTGAAGTTTAATTCTTAGCCATGAAATTGTTTCTTTATTCAGCTTGAATTTGACAACATTATTCAAATATTTAAAGAACTACTGAACCGAACAAGCAAGATAGCATCCCTAAATGTGTAAAAACTGGTGAAAAGAAAATCTTATAAAGAATGTTTAATGGAAATTGAAAAGTTTCTAAATTTAGATTAGTAATCTCTTTCAGTTTCACAGACAAAGTTAAAACTAGATAAGCATATTTTCAAGGCTAATTTTTATAGTAGACTAGGTTTATTTTATTGATCCAAGCACGCATTTTTGACAAAAAACAGTTGCTCGTCTTAAACTATAAATTGCGAATTCTAACTGTACCATACAATGAACTAGTTGAATTATTTAGTAAAAAAAAAGACCTTGAGGAAAAATGGTTTCTTGATGTTCAAAACTAATTGCTGAATTGCTTCTGAATTCATACAAGTCTATTAGTCAATATTTTTATATTCAACATCAAAGGGACTGTAAGCATAATTTCAATTGACCCCCCATACTAAGAGGGCAATGCCCGAGTCACAACGGTACCCTTAAAGGGACCCTAAAGGAAAAATGAAGGGGGGTATAGGCTGAAAGCTAATAACTTTAGCTCTTGATCTCGACCCATGAAAGTTTTATCTGATGTTCCTGTCTCGAGAAATTGATATAAAACTGTGTTAAAATTATACGAAAGTTCATATATGTAAAATTTAGAAAATTATCAAAAGTAAATACTCTTAACCTATAAAAACGACAATATCTTCTAGATTATTAACTGGAGATAGGTTTCAAGAGCACCGTTGTAAATCAGGCATTGCAATTTTTCATAGAAAATTACGCGTATAGTCCCTTTATTATTAAATATTTAGACAAGAACTGTTGGATGATGTTGATTATATTGGACTTCGCCACAAGAGGGTTACTGGACCTGAATATGATGAATTCATTGATGAGTTTATGCAGGTTCTATTTGATAATACAATTTTCTTTTTTCATTTTCAATGGATAAGAAAAAACATTTGAAAGGTTTCAATTTTATTTCACTTCTCTGGATTATTTCATTTTTAATTATTTTGAACTTTTACATAGAAATGACAAACTTATTGCATCTAATCAGAATAAATTTTATTAAAATGTTTGATCGTTTAGGCCGTCGTTGAGAGGTACGGACAGAACACTCTTATTCAGTTTGAGGATTTCGGAAACAGCAATGCTTTCAGGTACAGAACATTACAGTGTATTGTGTACAACAGCTTTTGTGGGAATCGGGTTGAATTGTAAATTAGGGAAAATTGACGTTTATTTTTAATGTTCACATGCCTCAAATCCAAATAAAACGGCTTCATCAATTTGATTTGATGAATCATTTATGTTTTCTGAACATTTTTGATTAGAGTGAGGTCGGAAATTTTGTGTGAAGTATTTGTCGTGAACGCTTATTCTTATTATCCAATGATTTCACTTTTAAAATTTGGAGAATAAATGCTTTATCCCTCAGTTAAAGTTATATATCCCTGCTGGGTATACCCACCACGAGATATCCCTGATGGGTATACCCACCACGAGATATCCCTGCTATGTATACCCACCACGAGATATCCCTGCTGGGTATACCCACCACGGGATATCCCTGATGGGTATACCCACCACGAGATATCCCTGCTATGTATACCCACCACGAGATATCCCTGCTGGGTATACCCACCACGAGATTTCCCTGCTGGGCATACCCACCACGGGATATCCCTGCTGGGTATACCCACCAGGGGTTAACTTAATCCGTACATCTGCGTACGAGATTCACAAGACTAAAGTTCTAATATCTGTTCCTAGGTTTCTGGAGAAGTACAGGAACTCCTACTGCACCTTTAATGACGACATTCAGGTGAAAAGTCAATTTACCATTTTTCTTCTCACCATGGGTAAATCTTAAATAAAATTTCGGGGGGGGGGGGGGGGGTAAAAGGTTAATATGGATAAATTCAAAATTTGACTTAAACCTGGAAGTTCAATTAATACACAGGGTTACCCAAAACGAATAAGACTGTAAAAACGACCTGAAGATCTGAAGGTTAAATTTGATCTTAGGTCTTTATTATGGTCTACAATGGGTGTTTTTAATTATTGTAAAAAGACATCTAAAAATGTAAAGCTATAGAAACCATCAATGCAAGAAAAGCCTTTACAGTTTCGTACAGTCGTCTCTGGAGTCTCCTTCTTGGTGGATAACCCTTTACTTTAATCATTTTGTTTTTAAGAATTACTTATTTTTCCCGCTCGAAACATTTCTTTTATTAGTGGGAAAAAAAGTTTTTTTTAATTTTTGTTTGATCTTAATTTGATATATATTGAAGGGAACTGCAAGTGTTGCTGTAGCTGGTATACTGGCTGCACTCAAGGCAACCAATACTAAACTTCAAGATCATACTTTTCTCTTCCAGGGAGCTGGAGAGGTATTATAATATTTAGTTATTCATTATCCTCCTTTATTACTACCCAGTACCCAGTACTTTCCTCTTCAAGGGAGCTGGAGAGGTATTATAATATTTAGTTATTCATTATCCTCCTTTAGACTGTATATTACTACCTAGTACCTAGTACAGAAATTAAACTTAAGTTTCTAATCCATCAAGGAAATTGGAAAAATTGGTTTACAGCAGAACCAATTAAATCGTCGTCTTCAAAATGTTTTTTCTCTCTAAAAATTGGTAAACTTTTTTTTCGGAAGGCTTTTGGAATTGTTTAATAGAAGCAAGTAAGAAAATGGCGGAGAGTTGACTTATTTTGGCTTGAAAGAACAATATTTCCATCATCTGTTCTAAAATACAAGTTAAAAAAGTGAAGTAATAACCGTTTATATATATTTAACCCAATATTAAAACTTTGTTTATGATCTTTTATTTAGTAGAATCTTAAGTTTATTATTAAGCTGCTGAACAGCAGGTCTGGAGTTTTTATATCTCAGTTTTAAAGTCTAGAGAAAAAAATGATCCTGGGGTTTCATATTTCTTGTGGATTAGGTTTCTTAATCTTGATTCTGCTGGCAACTATACCTTTAAACAAACATTATTATTTTTAAATAAAAAATATACATAGACAGATAGATAGTCTGGATTCTTTCTTGTTCTATTAGTTCTGTACAATTTTTTGTTCATTGCATACAAGGTACTAATGCAAGGAAAGTTAATTGCGGTCTCGTATACTCTGCGTACATATTGAAACCAGTTCTCTTTGAGCGGAATTTGTAAACAAGAATAGCTGCATCAGTGTTCGTCTAGTATTCAAGGAGGTTAAAAGCATTTAATTTTGATAATTCTGAATTTTCATATAATAGTTTCCTATGACCAGAATATTTCATAGATTATTTTTGTGAAAATGGAATTTCAGGCTCTCACATCCGTCTTGTGTTTACTTTCCCGCCCAAAGACAGTCCACTGCAGTACAAAAAATGCGTACACTGAAATAACTTTCCTTGCATTAGTACCTTGATTGCATAGTTGAATTAGTAATTATGAAAACTAATAGAATGTAGAAACCTAAAAAAAAAGTGTAGCCAATTAAATATTCTGAAAAATTCTGAAAATGAGGAGAATTTCTTTTCTTCTGAACTACTTGAAAAGAAAATTTCTCAGCGAGTTTTAATTAGACGCCATTGATGCATTGCAAATAGATTTCAGATTGAAGACGACTACACAATTGATTTTCTGTTAAGTTTAAGCAGTAACTTGTTGACGATTTATTTATTATGTTTGTTGCACCTATAACTGTACGTCAAAGTTTTGAACAATCCCTTATAATTCTAGTTTACTTAGTTCTAGTAAATGTAGTCTAGGTTTTTCTGATTGTTGGCAACCTATATAACTGTAAGAGGAGGAATGAAGGGTAGTGTAGGAACAATTATATAAACATTAGGTCTCAAGCCAATACCTTGTCAGGCCAATTAATATTTGTAATATGAGTTGTTCTACAGTTCTACATCTAACTATCTTATGTAATACTAGCTTGGGAATCCAGTCTTGGGTGGAAACTTAACGTTCTTAGTAAAAGTCAAACTATTTAACTTATAATCCATGTTACGAACATTCTTTTGGATAGACCGATCAAAACTTGAGGCAAATCGGTCAATGGGTAGACTAAATGTTTGTGAACATAACTTGAAGCCTATTTTATTCAGGCTGCTATTGGAATTGCCAACCTGATTGCCATGGCAATGGAGAAGAGAGAAGGAGTGCCTAGGGAGGAGGCCCTAAAGAGGATCTGGTTGAAAGTAAGAAATTATATATTTTTTATTTATTTTTGGAGACAAATCCGGGTTAATGTTTTATAAAAAAGGTTTTTTTAAGCTGAACAATTTTTGGGGTGGAAAGGGGGGATTAAAAATAAGTAAAGATTTGTTTCGCCTTGTTCCTATTTACCCCCCCCCCTTCCCTTGAAAACTTTTCGAATGGATTAATTAGCTAGAACAAAGATCGGTTAGATTTTTGATATTTACATACATTACATTTTTTCAAAAATCCAGTAAATTCTTTCAGCCTTACTTTTCTTTTTCCTGATTAATTTTATATTTATATTATATTTTTCTCAATCCTGTTCTAGCAAATTATTTTCAATGATAAAATAGAATTTGTTATTGTTTTCTTGAATATTAACTAATGGTTTAGGTTGCTGGTTGCCTAGGGTTCCCCAGGCATTCTATAGTTAATTAAATTATGCTTCTATAAAAACTGATTTTTTAAGGGGGGGTAGAGGTTGCTGGGGTAGAGGTTGCTTATTATAAAGAATAATTTACATGAAAGAAGTTGCGTAGATATTTGTGAAAAATGAAAAAATTCAAGTAAGGGTTAAATAAATTGTATTCGAAAAGAATTTAAGAATCTATTTATTTTCTTCAATTTCGTTCCATTAATAAAAAAGAAACTGAATTTTAACTTTAAGTTTCTTTAACAAAAATTGAAAAATATTGTATATTTTTATATCAAAATTGCTTGTGAAAAATATTTGCATATAAAAGTGACGTGAGTTTTTAGTAAGAGAAGGACAACGAAAATGAATGGTAAATCTTTTGAAAAAACTTCACGTAAAGCCGTGACTGATGTGGGCTTTTTTCTTTTTAACCCTATACCCGCTGGGGTACTTGAGAACCAGGTTACGCTGGGGGGGTCAATTTGACCCCCCCTCTTTCCTCTCTAAATCCCATGTTTGATGTCCAAATATGACAAATGATACATCATTGGAAAGCTCTTATGCTCTACTTTTAAAATCTGCTAAAAATTTAGCAAATTTGCAAAAATTGATATTTTTTTGCAAAATCCAGCAATAAAATAGAAAATTTTGCAAAAAAAATTTCCAAAACATTGATAGAATATACATTTTTGAAAACCCATTGACCATGCCATTTCAAATAAGCATAAATTCGTTCAAATTTTTAAATAACCTAATTTGTAATTAAGAAAAACTAAAAATGTGAATTTCTTAGGACTGATTGTACGCTAATAATTTGAAAAAATTTCTTTGCAAAATTTTTGCAATCAGTTTCCTCTTTATAGGCTTTCCAAAAAGCTAAAAATCATTAAAATCTTGCAAATAAAAGTGGGTCAAAACAAAGATTTAGTTTGTTACCGGAAAAATTAGTCATTTAGGAAATGTGCCTGAGGACTCAGGCACTTAGTATAAAAGCCTGGTTTTAGACCTAAAGGGAGGGCTAATGGGTATTTAGGGAAACTCAGAAAATTTCAATATCCTCAGACCTATAATTTTTGAGTTATGAAAAAAAAACTACAGGGGGTGAGGGTCAACTTCCCCCCTCCTGGCAGAAATAGGATTGAATATCAGTAAACTAGATAATATTTAGAAATATATTTATCCAAATGTCTTAAAGTCCCTTTTACGGGTATGCACTACCAAGTAGTTTTGATATTCCGTTTCCCTCCAATTAGGCCAAAAATTACAGAAATTTTGGGGAAATCGAAAATGGCATTTATCTGTTTTCTTAGAATTTACAAATTTTGAATAGCATGTTACTAATTTTCTAGAAATCATTTAGGCAATTATATTTCTAGGATTCTCGAGGTCTGATCGTAAAAGATCGTCCCGAGGGTGGAATTTCATCTCACAAAGCTGATTTTGCACATCCTCACAAGTAAGTTGTGACCTGCGTAGCTTTACACTTGAGTTTAGATTTATAACATATATTGTTTAATTTATACAGTAAGTTAGTGGGACTGGGAGACACCCCATCCATTTTAAAGTGTGTATGCCAGATTTACAACCAAACCCTTTAACTCTTTATTCAAGCAACTAATTTTCTCTTTTTTTTAAGTGCAGAAGTCCGCACATCCATCTTTTACAGAGAACCTTCCTTTGAAAATATCAATTGTTAGACAGAAAACCAAGGATAACTCTAGCATTTTGACAAAAGGGTGCAAAGGGTAATATTATGAATCTGATATGCCCCTTTATAAATGGAGGGTCACTTTAAATTACATAAAAAATCCCTCCAGTACCTAATTCACTTCAATCACAGAACTAAGCGTTCATTAAAATTTTCTGACACCTGTAGTAAGATGTCTCTAAAAGTTTGATTTGACTTGTAGCCAACTATATTTAGACCAAAGTTCTTGTGAAACCAAATTTCTTAAAATAAACGGGTTCTTTATGAAAATATCTCTAGATAATAATCTAAATGTTTGTATAATTTCTGTTAGAGGCTTTGCAATTCTTATTTAACTGTTGTTAAGTCCCGGTTTGTCCAACTGTTATGGGGAAACTATGCTGATTTTAACACCAAGGAAGTTAATATATAAACCAGCTGAACTAAACTACACAAACTAGAAACTTTATTCTATTATTTATTCTACTGTTCGTTAAGATTTGAAAACAGTGCTTTTCTTTAATTAAGATTTTATTAAGAAAAAGCTGGTATAGTTTAGAATAAGTAATTAAAGATCAAAAGTCATATTTTATGAAGCGTGAGAAATAGTTGAACTAGTTACAGTCAATTGAGCTACTTTTCCTGCGTTGAGTGTAGTTTAAACAAATCAGAGAGAGTTAAAGTACTTATCTATTATTTCTAGGACTATGACTGATCTGGGAGATATTGTGAGGGAATTAAAACCAACTGTTCTTATTGGAGCTGCAGCAATCCCTAAGGTTAGTTAAAATAATTATCTCTGTTATTTTCATTCTTTTGGGTCCAGGTTTTTTATCCAATATTAAAGGTATTTTTAGCGAAAAATAAAGGTATTTTAGGTGAAGCAATCATAAAATTATGAATTGATTAATGTTTTATCTAAATGTTTCTGTTAAGTAGTACCCTGTCAGCCAAGTGTAAAGAAAGCTAGTTAGAAACCGGTTGTCCACTTTATTTTGGGGCATGCGGATAAATGATGTTGTCAGAAACATAGACAAATTATAAACATTTTACTTGATGGATTCAAAATTCCTTCTCTTGTCCCTAAGCTCATTTCTCGGGAACATTACAGGATTTGAAGTAAATAAGAGCGTTTTGCATTTTCAATGATTGATTAATTTTTAAGCTGTTCTTAAAGATCTTTAACAAAAGGTCAGAATTTATTAACGGGAAATACAAAGTTAAACTTTTCACGGCTAATTCTCTTCTGCTGCCGAGATCAGCTTGAACCGGAGAATTTCGGCGGGTTCAAGTATAGCTGTAAACTAATAAAACTGATTAACTACCTCTTATTATTTATAAATCATGAACTCTGATTGTACTGCAGGTGTTTACTCCTGAGATTATCCGTGATATGGCAACCTTTAACAAAGCACCAATCATCTTTGCTCTCTCCAATCCTACATCTAAGGCAGAATGCACTGCTGAAGAGGCATACGCCAACTCAGGTAAAAGAATAGTCTTAAAGGGAGTGATAATGATTTTTGAAAANTGGAGGATATATTTCTTTAACTTAAATGTTAATGTCCTGAATCCGGTTTTTCGGATCCGAAATCATTTTTTACAGGGCGGATCCAGGATTCAGATCCGCATCAGTATCTAAAGGAAATGAATCCTGAAAATCACGAAAAGAATCTCAAGTGTTCTTTTCTTTTCATAATACTCTCTTCAAAAATAGATTATTTTTAAATAAGATTCAAATTATCTTATTAATAAAAAACTTTTCAGATGGTCGTGCCGTGTTTGCCTCTGGATCCCCCTTCCCTGTTTATGAAGGATTTGGGAAGGTAAATTCCTATTCAAACCTAATTTTGCCCTGGCACACAGGGTAGGGGGCAAAATTCCACTTGCCCCCCCCTGCCCTCCCCTGGAATTTTTGGGCAAAGGATAAAATCAGGTGTTGTAGGTAAAAATGATATTGCGCCCATCTGAAAAAGAGTTGTTTTCCTCCTTTTTTATTTTCAAAACCATTATTAGTATTTCTTATTCACATAAAATTGCCTCTACCCCACTATTCTTTCTCTAAACTACAGATATATTTTAGAAAATTATAGCTAAATATGTATATTATAGGATCTCCCATGAAGTGGGGGGATGGGGGGAGCTCCATAAGGCTAAATTAGGGGAGCAGGGGTGGGGGAGAATAAAGATGAGGGAGTGACTTATATCATTGTCTTCAGGAGACTACTCAGGACATCAGAAAGTATTAAAGAACTTTACAGAGGAATACATAACTATTTAATACATAGTCCCTTAATTGGGAATACAGTGGACTACAGAGGGATACATAACTATTTAATATTTAGTCCCTGAATTGGGAATACAGGGGACTACAGAGGGATATGTAGACTTTAGATAAAATAAGAGCACTTAACGGGCCAGGGTGGGGGGGAGAAAACTATCTTTCCCCCTCCTGGCTAAAATCCTGTGTACGCACCTACCGATTTTATATATGTAGTTGGGGGGGGGGGGCTGATAATGATAATGGCATTCTTTTTGAGATTTTTATCATAAAATCAAGGATTTTACTATTGGATACCCCCCCCCCCCTTCTCAAGCCTCAATACATTCTTTAATAAAGCAATCTCGCGTAATTTGTATATTCTAGGCAAGTTAGGTTAATATGATATATATTCACAAGAAATTGCTTTATTTCTGAAAGAGGGCGATGGGGTCAACTGCACATTTAATAATAAATTACCCTCTCTTAATCATCTGTTTTGTTCTTATTTTATTCATTTTGCAATTTATGCAGCCTACAATTTATTAAACTTCTTCATTATAAACTTATTACATAGAACTGCAATAGGTTTTTGTTTAGTACAATTTCCTTATTGCAATTCTCTACTCCCAAACTTAATCATAACTTAACCTTTTCAGATTTTCACTGTGAGAGTTACCTTTTTATTTTACTTTTTTAAGTAAACTTTGTTTATTACTCAGAACAAGAGAGAGGATTATTTTTAACAGAAAGAGCCCTGCCTGCCTGCATACCTGCCTGCCTGCCTGCCTTTTTCCCTTTACAATATCTTGATTGACACAGAAGATAAAGTCAAGCTGTGTTCAACTGCCTCAATTTCCTTTTCATCCATTCTTTAATACCGCATATATCCTCTCCCCCCCCCCCTCCACATACACAGATCCCCCCCTGCAGTTTTCTAACCATCTTGGAACCATTGTATAGAAAAGTTTCTTATTCTACTTTGATTGAATCTATATTTCTCTAAAAATCTTTTCTACAAAAGATTTCAAAAGATTCAATTATTTTATCAGAGCTGAAAACTTTAGAATGGTAAATATCGAGATCAATGCTTAATCCTCTCTTTTTCTTAATCTCGAGACTAACCTAATCCTGCAGTTTGTATCCTGAAAAGTGTATCAAATTCAACCAATTAGAGAGGAGTAATCAGAAGCCGGGAAATTTTCAATTTTGCGCGCCATTTAATGAGAGTTCTCTCATTTAATTAAGATTAATATATAATTTTTAAAAAAACGCTTTTTTATTTTTCTGTGCTATATCTAAAAAGAGTGGATTAAGCAAGAAACTAGAAGTGTCCACATTGGATATTCGGATTAAGCAGTAGGGATCAAAGGTATCCCATTCTAAAGTTCCCAACTTGGTAGGACTTCAGGGACGACTGTACGAAATATATTCTGTCTGTTTCCCTATTTTGATGATACCCTGTAATAAACTATAAAACTTGTTTTTTCTCTTCGCCAAATCGCAAGTTCATAAACTAGTGTACATCTGTTCTCTCATTGTTAAGAGTAAAAGATTAATCGTCACCAAGATTTTACAAATAAAAGAAATGAGACAAAACAGTCTAACCCAGAATTTAAACCAAGAAAACACTAGATTTATTCAAGGGCACAAACTACAGTGAGACCCAATACATTGTGAATAAGGAGATCGAGTTATGACTTTAAACCAGGGGGGATGATAGTTCTCTACCTGTGTGCTCAATTAGCTGTACTGTACACTTACAACTGTTTACTTATAATGATACTTTTTTTCCTTTCTTCAAATATTTACCCAATCCGCATTGCTGTGGTTCAAAAATATATTAAAAAATCTAAAGAATTAGATATTAAAGACTTTTTTGCGGTTTATTTCGTTAAAAATATCTTTTATTCAAATAAATTACCATTAATTTTACTATAAAATGACTGCCATATATTAACTGTTATTGTTCTCATAGGTATCAAACAACTTAACAAAATATGGAAGAAGACATTTCAAACTATTCACCAACTGTGAAGTTTATTGGACACCCTGTAATTGTAAATTGTATTAAGAAACTAGACTAAATCAGTTTTAGAATCTGTTAGAAGTCCCAGCAAATTTGTGGATATTAAAACTTTTAGTTAAGATTATTTTGAAAATAAATTCTATTAAATCCGAAGGTTTTTACCGAAGAATTTGCTTGGTTGAACCTGGAACTATGTTTGACAGTACACACGCCTCCTTATTTAGAAAACCTTGAAAAGAATTTTATATTGCTGCAGCATTCACCTTGCTTTCACATTGGAGAATAGTCAAGGAACAAATAGAATTCAATCAAACATCAAGAAAAAAAAGAAAAAAGAGTCTTCGTCACATTTGTAGAGGAATAGTTTTTCTTTACATATCTCAAACTTATTCTGTTATACTTTACACTTTGTGACCAAGCTTACACTTTCTTCTTACAATTTATCTAATTTTCTTCAGATTTCCTGTTTTCACTTATTAAATCAAAATTAAGAATTGCTGCGATAATTGTGTTTGCTAGGTAACCTGACTTTTGGTCGGGATAGACCTAACCACATCAAATATAGCTTTATATTCACATCGTAAACTTTTAAATTGAAACAGCTATTTAGAGGAACTAAACGCGTAATTTTAAGTGACCTTCTACGCAAAGATGTCAATGCCGGATTCACTACAGTACCCTTAAAACCTTTGTCTGATAAAGTATGAATAAGATGTCGATGGTTATAATTTTAATAACTAATTATTTTCAATTGTTATAAATTGACTTGCACATTTCTACTACAATCAAACATTTAGTAATTATAAGAATTAAACACTCTTAAACTGGGTTGTGGGTACCTACTGACTATTGAGCGGGTCATAAATAGATTTTAAAACGCTATTAGTTTTGACCTTTGTGTTGTGTAGAGGTATGAGCCCGGACAAGGGAATAACGCGTATATATTCCCTGGAGCTGGTCTTGGTGTTCTAGCCACAGGGATATATCATATCTCAGATTCAGTATTCCTCTCAGCTGCTGAAGCTCTGGCGGAGATGGTGAGTTTAATCTATTTAATAAAATCATCTCTTTAATATGTTTCTCACTTGTCCTAATATTCTTCTTTTTTCGAAGGAAAAATTTATATTGAAATTTATATTAGATTTAATTTTTATGCGAGACCACAGTTGAAACCTGAAAACTGTCGTCCATTGAACAGGTTTCTTAGCAACTATGCAGTGGGTATGTCCGATCATAACTCATGAACCCCTTGACCGACTTGCCTCAAATTTTGAGTCACGGGAAAACCACGGAAATGTTCTTAGCTTGGTTTGAGATTCTAAGATGATTGGGTCCATTTGTGTAGGTAAAAATACCTAGAATTGCTTAAATGTCGTCTTCCTTTTCCACTGTTATATGGGTTTCATTGGAAGATTTGTTACGGAAGTTTATTTCTTGATTTATGTTTGTAGAACGAAAGTTTCTCCCTCAGATTTCCGACATATCCTAATAAAATTTACAGTAAGCCTTAGCCTTAACAATTTTTTTAAAATTAAGGTTACAGGTTCGGAAGTTTTTATTTGGTATTCATGTATGTTCAGGTCAATTTTATTAACAACATTTTTCTTCAGAACTGTGGGATAGAATTCAAAGTAATTTATAGTTTTAAATCCTTTATATTTCGTGAACCACCCCTTCAGCTCTATTAAAATATTTTTGAAATGTGTCTTGAGTAAACTGCACTATTGCTGTGTTCCATGTTTATATAATCTATGTTATTATAAAATAAACTTGAGCCTTACAATCGTCTTTACGTTCCACAGTGTTCTGGGGCTTACTGTATATACTAATGTATATTCAGGTTGAAGAATCTGATATTGAGGTTGGACGTCTCTACCCTCCTCTCAGCAAAATCAGAGAAATCAGGAACGTCAACAAATGCATTCTGTTCATTTCCTTGACACATTTTCTGATTATCAGTAATTCATCCGCCCCTCTTCTTATTCCCCTTTCAGAGGCGTAGTCAGTGGGGGCTATGGGGGCTCAGCCCCCTCCCTGGACCAGTGAAATCTATGGTTTTTAGGGAGTTTTCAGGCCCCGATGGTTGTTGAGCCCCCACCTGGAATAAAAAAAAATTAAGCCCCCTTCCTAGACAAATTCCTGACTACGCTCCTGTCACCACCCTTCATACATACTCCCACATCTCTTTCAACTCCTGTCCCCCACCCTTCATACATACTCCCATCTCTTTCAACTCCTGTCCCCCACCCTTCATACATACTCCCCCATCCCTTTCAACTTGTTTTTTACCAGACTTCTCACACTTGTTACCTGTAGGAGAGAGTACTAGAGTTCTTAAAGATCTTGAAAATAGAGATGATAAACCAACTTTGGAAATTAGGGAAAAGGCTAGTCTAAGAGGTCCTTAGGGGTCAGAATGTTGAAAACATTTCGTATGATGTCGTTGTGCAGAAAATATTTATTTTTCTTGTTAATTTCGTTGATATCAATAACATTTTCCATACATATGGACAGTACAGTTGCAAAGTAATCCACGAAATTTACAACAACAAAGAATGGCATGTCGATATATATCGATTATTCTGCTCCTCACGGACAACTTAGCTTACTTGTATTCATAATTCCACAACTTGGGTTATTTTATATATCTTAAACTATTAGGACAGTTATTTTATCAATAGTAGTATCCTCCTCTTGTTAGATTTGTTTGCTTCTATTGTTTAACTTTACCATAGTTTACACTAGGATAGATAGATAGATTTAATAACAGATTTTAAATACAACGTTTCTCTATCACAAGCTGTTCTAAACCAGATAAACTGAAATGAGATAATTCGCAAATTACGCATTGACTTTTGAGACCGGGTCCACTTTTTCCAAGCTTCAGTTGATAAAGAGGTAAATGCGTCATATTGTTGTTATGATGACAGTTTGCGTATTGCCACGAGGATCGCCGAAGAAGCGTACGCAGAGGGAACTGCATCGACATACCCTGAACCCAAGGTAAGTAATATATTTATATTGTACACAGTATAATGTTTTGCATATGTAATGTATACACCTAAAAAGTAACAAAAAACTTCAAAGACTTATACTTCAAAAACTGCAGTTCATCTTTTGTGATCATTAATCTTGGGCTTTTTAACTGTAAACATCGTTCGTCAGATTGTTTTCTTCTTTCATATTTCTTCAAGAAAAACAATTAGCACAAAATCCTTCCGCTTTTCAGGAATTTAAATTATTTGTCGGAAAATTTAATTTTGACATCCCATTAGCCATTTTGGCAGTTTGCTTATTTTCAAATGGCGGGCCGATAGCCTCGATAAACAATGTTTATGTCTTCAATTGGTCTTGAGAACCCCTGGTCAAGTTAAATATCCTTAACTTCCCTTTAAAGTAATTGTAAATAATTACAATTCCCTGTTATTGAAGTGTATTTCTATGTACAGGATAAGGCTGAGTACATAAAACAGACCCTGTACAACTACAACTATGATGATGCTAGAGCTCTACCTACCCTCTACTCCTGGCCGGACCATGTACAGCAGCACTTCAACAAATCCTAAATATATTGCCNGGTTAAAGGGGTTAACTAGTGGATTAAAATTAAGCTTAAATGGATAAATTGGGAGGGGAGCAACACATTTTTTAATGATAGGTTTTTAGTTTTGAAAACAATCTCAAAATTGTCATTTTGAGAATTTGAATTCTTAAATTTAAACTTTAAAATTTAGAAAAAAGTCAAATTTGGCAATTTTTAGGATTTGAAAAATATTTTAAGTAGAAATTTGTATCAAATTAGTGATTTATAGTATTGAAAAATTTTAAGTATTACATAAGATAGTTTTATAATTAATTAATATATATATTATATATGTATATTTTTATCAATGGTGGATTATATGTAGAAATCCGATATAGGTTTTTATCTTCGAACCATTTACCAGTAATTTTTGTGATTTGTTCTTTGGTGAAAAATTCACAAATGTTTTTATTAAAATAAATTTCATTTAGTTTACATTTGTTTCAGTTGTATTCAGGGGCGTATTCAGGAATTTTTAAATGTTTGTCAAAAAGAAATAAGAAAAATGTTCACATAGACGGTAGACGTACATGTTAGAATTTTTTAAAATCTTACTAGCCCCTTTCTATTTGTATCAAATTATATTTTAAGTAGTACCTATGGGCCATGCCATGGCAATGAGCCATTACATGTTTTTAACATCAAAAAGGTTTTTTGGTTTGCTCATTGAATGTTTAATGCATGTAATATAAGAAAGGTTGGTTGGTAAAAAAGCCAGATCTAAAAGTTACATTCATACAGTCCCAACAAATGGACACTTAGCATATTTTCATTTTTTGACATTTTTTTTTTAAATCCTGTGTCATAAATCATTTATATATTTTCTAAAGATTTATGACCATATTATTATACTTGAAAAATTTAAGACTATAAGAAATGATAACTTCACTTTTTTGGCAGAACATCGAAACACTTTCAGAACTTCCAGATTTCAAGATAAATTCCTGATGTCAAGATAACAGATTTCCTGATAACCTATAACAGATTTCCTGATAACCTATAGCAGATTTCCTGATAAATTCCAAAAGAGTTGAACCTTTGCCACAAACTTAAATGTTCTAATCCCTAAATCTTTACAACCAGATGATGTAAACCTTGAAATCCATAGTTTGAACAATTTGACGCAGAAACATTGGAATGCAAAGATTTTAGAAAAGATATTAGAAAATTATTAAGAAAATATTAGTCTGTTTTCCAAAACCAAATAAACTTCAGTTTGATGTGCACCCGGCGTTGATGTTTATGGAAAAACAATGTTTAGTTTTCTCTCAACTTTGTTCTATTATAATTGGTTTTAGAACTTTGTTCAAAGTTTCCCGCCTCTTCCACATAGTGCATTAGGTACGAAACTTGTGCTGGGGCGTGTTTTTGTTCTCGGCTCCCCGACACAGTGCATTAGGTACGGAACTTGTGTTGGGCTGTGTTTTTGTTCTCGGCTCCCCGACACAGTGCATTAGACGATAATTTTGTCGGGGTGTTTTTGTTCTCTGCTCCCCAACACAGTGCATTAGACGATAATTTTGTCGGGGTGTTTTTGTTCTCTGCTCCCCAACACAGTACGTTAGACGATACTTTTGCCGGGGCGTTTTTGTTCTCTAATCCCAGGCACAGTGCATTAGACAATACATTTGTCGGGGCGTGTTTTTGTTCTCTGCCCCCCCCCCCCCAGACACAATGCACTAGACGATTCTTTTAACGAGGCGTGAATTTGTTCTCTGCTCCCGGACACGATGCATTAGACTACACTAGTGTTGGGGAGTGTTTTTGTTCTCTGCTCCCTGACACATTGGATTAGTTGATACTTTTGTTGGGGCGTTGTGTTCTCTTCTCCCCGACACAGATGCATTAGACGATACTTTTGTTGGGGCGTTTTTGTTTACTATTCCCCGACACAGTGTATTAGACGATACTTTTGTTGGGGCGTTTTTGTTTACTGTTCCCGGACACAGTGTATTAGACGATACTTTTGTTGAGGCGTTTTTGTTTACTATTCCCCGACACAGTGTATTAGACGATACTTTTGTTGGGGTTTTTGTTTACTGTTCCCCGACACAGTGTATTAGACAATACTTTTGTTGGGGCTTTTTTGTTTACTGTTCCCCGACACAGTGTATTAGACAATACTTTTGTTGGGGAGTGTTTTAAGTTGGTTTACATCCATTTTCTTTTAAGTTGTGAAAATATTGTTCAAAAATTGGGAATGGTCTTTTATCCCGATGTGGTCAGGGATTGGGCCGAACAACAGTTTGATATTTTAGTTGACTTTGAAAGGTCTCCATAATGTGCTCTTAATAATATTTATTCTACTTCTTTTCCAAGTTGAATATAATTTATATGTTATAAGCAAACATAAACGCTTCGAAGCTTTGCTCCGTAGATTATGTGAAACTGGAGTTGCTATAATGATGTAAATCATTCCTATTTATACACCGCTTTTTCTTTCAAAGTAAAGCACTGTATGACAGGGATTAGTAAATATTGACAGGTTTTATAAATACCTTTTATCTACTTTCTCTTTCATTTATTTTATCAGAACAAGTTTGTTAAAAGTTTTATGCTTTTAATATTTGAAATATTTAGAATTGCTTTCAATTTAGAAGTTTCAGAGATTTCGAATAAAAATAGGTGATAGATTTATTGCAACCCTGCACGGGGACTTATAGTGCACAAGGTTCACAGGGTTAAGCTCAAAACTGATTACGGTACGAAAACGCCATTTTTTCAAAATCATCAGAAAACTAGAGAATTAAGCGAGAGTAATGTATTCCTTTGTAAATTTGTAAAGTTCTTGTGTACTTATGACGTGGTAAAGGAATTGAGTCTTTGCGTAAACTCCATGATTTTATAATCCTTATATCTTTGCAACTCAATGTCGTAGACTATAGGTATTTCAAACTAGGAATTCTTAAGATTAAGTGATCTAAGTCTGAAATAGCAAGGGTTTACATCATCAGGATGCAAAGATATCAGGCTTAGATTTGGGGAACTGTACCGTTTTACAAATACAAATGCAAATACAAATACAAATATAAATACTAATACTAATACTAATACTAATCCTAATACTAATACTAATACAACTATACAAATACAAATACAATTACAAATACAGATGCAGATGCAGATACAGATACAGATACAGATACAGATACAGATACATATACAGATACAGATACAGATACAGATACAGATACAAATACAGATACAGATACGGATACAGATACAAATACAGATACAGATACAGATACAGATACCATTTTCTTTATTGGCCTAAAAGTTATTCCGGTACATTTGATACATTTGTATCAGTATGCACTGTATCCACTGTATCAGTATGCACTGTATCCACTGTATCAGTATGCACTGTATCCACTGTATCAGTATGGTCAGTATGCACTGTATCCACTGTATCAGACTGCACTGTATCCACTGTATCAGTATGCACTGTATCCACTGAATCAGAATACACTGTATCCGCTGTATCAGACTGGACTGTATCAGAATGTCTGCACCCCCTTCCTTTTTTTTTGGCAAACACCCCCTTTCATCTCCTTTTTTCAGTTGAGAGCAAAAATGAGGTAATATCTTCTAAAATATATTCCAACATCTTTTATATTTTGTGACAAATTGTTGTGAGTATAGTGTTTATATTTCTAGTTCATATTTATCACAAATATTATGTTTTTGAGCTTTGCTGAAATGTCAAAATGATAAATTTGTATAAGAAGGGAAAACCTTCTACAAAATATAAAAGCATGGTTGCACGAAAAATATGTCATAAAATCACAAAAAAGTAAATAATAGTTTAAACGCTTTAGGTTTTTCGCGTCAATTCTCTTCATTTATTCGAACGCATCAGGCCGCTTCGCATCATATCACTTTCACTCCTTTTAATGATAATATCGTTTTTTTTGCTTAAACTTCGTGCATTAATAATTAAAAAACTAACATTTCGAATTTTTTCCTGAATTTTTTTGCAGAATAACTTAATTGACAATAAACAAGGTTTCTACGTAAGACCGGAAATACTAAAATTGTGAATTGTGACGCGATTTAAATTCTACGAATGCAGAAAAATTTACAAGAATAAAATTTAGAATCTCATTCTTTAGATTATTGAGAAGAAACGAAACATTTATATAAATAGTGCTGATAAATTGATAATAGTCATGATAAATATTAAGATAATTTATTATAATATTTTAATAGAATAAAATCTACATTGAACGCCACATAACTATAAAATAGAAGGACGTTAATTTTGAAAGTACATACAGTGATGACCAGAAAACTCTGGAATGGGAGGACGACTTTACAGCAATACTTGAGTGAATTTGATGTTGTTACAAAGAATATTGTTTTACTAGACACTTATCAAATAACAAAAAAAAATAAATGGGTCTGTTTGCACCGTATACTTTTTAAACTTAAAACCTGACTCTAAAAGTCGTCTTCCTATTTCAGAGTTTTCTGGTTATCACTGTAGTTTTACCAGTAGTATTGCAAATCAACTTCTTAGGCCTACGGACACTGCACAATTGCGGTGTTTAATTTTCAGTAAACTATTTAAATCATAACATTTCTCTTACCTGTCGTCTTCGTATTCCACAGCTTCATTGATCCTACTGTAGGTTTTTAATGTTTTTAGTAAACTGATAAATAATAAAGAATGCGCAAAGTAAATCGTGCCTCATGTTTATATATCATGTACAGTGTACACAAATACAAGATTTATTCTAAGCTTAAAGATAGAAAAGATAAATCTAGGTTTTAGAACCCTTGAGACCAAATTGTTGAGATAAGTTAGTCCAACCTGTTGGAACCTATCTAAGATACCGTCAATAGTCTCATAAACACGTAAACCAGACAAAATTAACATTTCCCAGACTGTTCTGCTTACAGGGGTATAATACATTATCTAATATTTCTTGGCAAACAATAATACATGAATATTATTCAACAGAGATATATTTATCTCAGGGTTTCCATTCGCAAAATTTTTGCGCAATTTTTGCGACAGAATACGCAAATTTTTGCTTCCGTTGATTTAAATGTTTGCACTGTGTGCAATCATTCGCAAACTTAATTTCGCACAAAATTGCGCTATTCCGCTTTTGAGTTATTTTGTTTTGCACAATTTTTCGGAACAAATAATCATTAAAAGGTCTAGAAATTTGATGACTCTGGGTTGTCTATATCTCACAAAGACTTTGATATTTCAATTATTTGCATTCGACTTGAAGTAGTCAACACTTGAAATATCAAAGGTTGCCACCACACAAGAATTTTCAATTTTTTATTTATTTTATTTTTTTCCCTCAATTTAAAGTTTTTGTAACTAAAAGTAACCAGTTTAGAGTAGCATAATCAATTGAAATTTTGGTTTTATGTAAATTTTTGATAAAATTTCAGTTGTTTGATTCTGTGCTTAAACT